GGGTTCCAACCCGAAACGTCAACTTTCCTGCTCCTCTGATGCTGCCTGGCCTGCTGTGTTCCTCCAGCTTCACAGTGTGTTGTCTCTGACTCCAGCATCTGCAGTACTTGCTATCTACTGTGCAGTATTGGTCGTTTTATTTAAAGAATGTATATAAGCATTGCAAGCAGTTCTGACTAATGCCTAGAACGAGTGGGTTGTCTTATGAAGGAAACTTGGACAGGATAGGTTTGTATCTGCTGGAGTTAGGAAGTGTAACAGACAACTTGATTGAAACATAGACAGTCCTGTGGAATCTTCATAGGTTGCACGTGGAAAGAACGTAGAGCTAGGAGCATTGTTTAAAACTGGTCACCCCTTTAAGACAGATAACAGGAGAGCCTTTTCTCTAAGACTAGTCTTTGGAAATCTTCCATGAAAGGTTGTGGCAGCAGAGTCTTTGGTTTTAAGCCAGATCTTGATTCTTGATAAACAAGAAAATGAAAGGTTATCCTGAGTAGATGGGATGTGAGTAATCAAATGAGCCATGTTATTCAATAGGGAAGCAAGTTCAAGGGACAAAGTGACCTATTCTGCTTTAATTTGTTTTTGGGGCAGAGTTAATATGATTTTGGGAAAAGGAAGTCGTGTTTTATTTGAGTAGTTTGAGGAAGTAACCAGCAGCTTTGATAAAGGGAACCTGTAGATAAGGTGTGTGTGGACTTCCAATAGGCATTTGACGGAATTATGAAACGATTATGCCAAAAAGTAGCCGCTTGGCCCATTGTGCCTGCACCAGTGGAAAAACAAATCATTCACCAAGTTCTACTTACTGGTATTTGGCTCATAGCCTCACAGGTTATGGCACTTGAGGTGCATATCCAGACACATTCAAATGAGTTGAGGATTTCTACATCTAACCTTTTTTCAGGTAATGAGTTCAATGTTGCAACCACTCTTTTGTGTAAAAGTTTTCCTTGTCTCCCCTCCAATCTTTTTACTACTGTCTTTAAATCTTAGCCTTTATAGCCCCTTCCCCCAACTCTATCCAGGTACCTTGTAATTTTATAATCCAATTAAATCTCCCCTCGATCTCCATTGTTCCAAGGTGAACAATCCCAGACCATCTTAGCTTTTCCTCATAGTTGCAATTTCTAGTCCTGGTGGCTTCCTCATAAATGTCATCTGCACCCGGTAGCGTAATCAATCTTTATTGTAATGGTATGGCTAGACTTGTGTCCATTACTCAAGCTGTGGCCGAACTGGTGATTTGTGTAATTCCAACACGATGTCTGATAATAAATGAATAGGTTGTACATGCTGCTGTAATCACCTCTGCCAAAGATCTGTGGACATTCCTGCCAAGGACCTTTTACTACTTGTGTACCTCCTGGGTGTTGTTTTAATTTTAGTTTATTCTGTATTCGTTTGCTTAGCTTTCCTCCCAAAATAGACAACTCAGTTCTCCAGTTGAATTCTATTTACTGCTTTTCTGCTGACAAGACGAGCCCATTTGATATCATCTTGCAGTCTGCTGCTACATTCCTCACTAACAACTATACAGCCAATTTCATGTCCAGACTTCTAGATTATGCGCCTTTCTCTTTAGATCCAAATTGTTAATAGATACTGCAAAAAAGTTAGGGATATAATATTGAGCTTTGAAGAATTCCTCTGAAGTCAGCCTCCTACTCACAATGATTCTTTAGGGTAATTGTCAGTGGATATTAAGTGGTTTTTTTTGTGCTGGCAAGCTGTACCACGGAGTCAGAGTCTATAATATTTGCAATCTGTATCAGTGTCTTGGATTGAGGGACTAAAAGGTTTGGTTGCTAGATTAGCATGAAGAAAGATAGTAGAGTAGTTGTGGCAAGGATATAAAATGACGACAAGGGGATAAAGAAGCAAGAGCTCTAGTTGCAAAAATGTAAATTTGCATGCTTGACTACAGAGGTTAGGGACAATCCATGTGTAAAAGTAGCTCAAATTCTGAAAAATACAAAGCAGCAAAGGATGACAAAATACTAGGAGCTTAATAAAAGGGAGCAAGGAAAGAAGAGATCTCAAGATTAATGATTTCCTATTATGTTAGGAAAATGGAGGTTAAGAAGAGATGATGGCTGTTGGGAGCAGGTATTGGTGAGCAGAATGTAAATGAAGAAATGATGAGCGTGTTTAATAATTATTTTGTTCATGTTAACTAATAGCCTGAGAAAACCCACATTAAATCGGTGACAAGAAATTCAACAAAATAATGTGAGCAAAGTCACTGAAAAAAGCACATCTTCATGGTCAGATTATTTTCATCCCTGATTTTCAAGGAGTGAGGTATTGACAAAGCTTTTTGTTGTATGCTCATCAAAACAAGCAGAAGAATGTGACATTTCTATTAATCATAATGATTTATATAATAGAAAATGGTGCTGATAGGATGGCAAGTGAAGTGGAGAAAGCAAAGGAGACCATTATAGACACCCGCAATTTTTTGGGTAATTCGAAAAAGATGCAAAACATATTCCTTTTTCTATACAGACAATGGGCTCTTGCTAAGGAAAGTATGTTGCTTCTAGCAAACAGAAATGAACCATTTCACCAGCCTGATTTGATTATTTTAAGCTGGTACCTTGTTATTTTAGTACACTCTCAATTGGGCATCACTTTCTGAACAATTGAGAGAATGTTAGCTTTCACTCACTGTTTCTCAAATGTTACATATCTTGAAGAACTTGGGTTTTTTCTTCCTTCATTCATTCAGAAGATGAGGGTATTGCTGATGACACTGCATTTATTGCCCATACCAAATTGCACAGGGGGCAGTTCAGAGTCAGTATTGTGTTTCTTCTGTTGTGTTTAACGTTGGCCATGCAGTATTTTATTCTCATTTATACAACGGGCTTAATGTTTGTTTTCATTGTACGTTGCTAGTTTGAGATCGATCTGACTGACCAGATATTTTATATTCAGGCTTATTCCTTTTCTAAGTACCTATGATTATTGTAAACTTTTCTGGTAGTGAGAGAATATAATTGAATGCCCAATGTTCTAATTCATAGTCATGGCAGAAAGGAGTCGAACAAATGCTTTCCCCTGTGAAAGCAATTTGAAACAACCTGTACTATTTTGTGTATCATTTGGGACATGGTTGTGTAGAGCATTAATCTAGGACGTATCCATTCAGGCAGTTTGAACAGTGGGTAGTGGGGAGAAGATCTAGACAGTGAAAAATTATTACTTTTGTACTCAAACTGATTTGTTTCAAGACTTCAGCATACAAGCCTGCATCTGAGTTATGGTAATGTCACTGTATATTGTAAATTAATTGGAGAGAACAAATAAAAATTGAATGAAAAGACAATAGCATTGGTAATCTGGGAGAACAAACTTACATTTTTAAAAATGTATATCTGTTCAAGAAAGGCTGATTTCACTTGCTCTGGTCAATGAAAGAATTGTTATACTGGAGAAGATTGCCATTCAGCCCACTGTTTACACGGCTCCGGAGCACTTTAACTTGGTACCAATCTCCTGCCTTTTCCTCCAAATATCTTCTTTTTGTTACTAATTAAACAAATAATAGTCCCAATATTCTCTTGAATGCCTTGGTTGAATCTGCTTCCATCACACTGCCAGGCAATGCATTCATATCCTAACTACTTGCCATGAAAAGATATTTTTTCTCTTATCTCATATCTCATTTGCTTTTGCAAAACATTCTAAAATACTATGCTAATTCTTGATACATTTACAAGTGAAAATATTTATTCCCAGTCACACTGTGCAGACCTCTTGAGATTTTGAATGCGTCTGTCAAATCTCCTCTTAGCCTGTTCCTATCCACATAAAACAATCCCAAATTCCTCAAGCTTTCCTTAGAACTGAAGTCTTTATCCCTGGAACCATTCCCATAAATATCACATTCACATCCTTTGTGAAGTGTGGTGTTCAAGAGTGTACATAATACTTCAGCTTGGGTCTAACCAGTTTCATAAGTTCATCATCACCTCCCTGCTTTTGTACTCTATGCACCTATTCGTGAAGCTTAAAAAAAGCTCTGTGCTTCATTAACAGGTCTGTCTACTATCTGTCACATTTAATGACTTGGGTAAATAGGCACACGGGTCTCTACTCCACACCTTTTTGAATTGTATCTTTTTCAATACTGTCTCTTCATTTTCTTTGTACAGAGATGCATCACCTCTCTCTTTTTTCCATTGAGCTTCATCTGTCATCTATTTACCCACTCCAACATGTCAGTGTCCTTTTCTCCACTGTCCTCGTGGTTGACAAAACTCCCAAGTTCAAAGTTGTCTGCAAACTAATTTTCCCACGCACAGAAGATCTGGACCATTTTTTCAAACATAAGGAAAAGCAAGTGTCCCGGTACTGACCTCTCTCAATCTCCATTCACCAGATTTAGTGCCTACTAACCATTACTGTTTCCTATTCCTTAGCCAAAGCCAGTTTTGTATTCTCAAAAAAGGAGTCAAAAAGAGATTAGAATCAAGTGGTTTATGAACTTTGTAGAGCTGCATTTTTCTGCCTCAAAGCATGTCAGTATAGTTCCTGTTTTACGAATAAATTCTAAATTGCTTTTGCCTACAAGATCAAAAATGCCAGCATGACATTCTAGCAATAATTAATGCCTACTTTGAAGATAATTTTTGAAAAATGTTTTCATGTTATTTCATTTTTATTTCCTTCTAGGACTTCTGGAGCACCACAGGGAAATATGGTAATTATTAAATCTCATTTTATTGAAGGTACAATATGGGATGTTTGGCTTATTCGTCATTTGGTGATAAAAGTCCATATGTGTATTGCACAGTTTATGTTGGAGATAATTTGATTATCTAACCTGTATATTTTAAAAAATCACTTTTTTGTTTGTTCCCATCTATCAAGGGTTTCTGTTTTCTCCCAACACATGTTGCCAGACCTGCAGAGACTCCCCAGCAATTTTTGTTTTTGTTTCAGGTCTCCAGAATCTGCAGTTCTTTGTTTTATTTAAGCAAATTATAAATGGTTTTCCTGCCCATCCCAAAAAATGATCACACCTGTTGGGTTGGATTTTCACGATATGGAGCAGCTGTGGGCGTGTGGAACTGTAGCCAGGACCCGATTTTTATAGGTTTCCTGACCCTATTCCCAAGGTTTCTTACTATCAGTGCTGCTTAGGCATAAGCTTATTATGCATTATAGACTGTGAGCCCAGTCATTACTTAGCTTTGAAATGCCAGACTCCTGGGGAAGCATAATTTGCTTCATACTTCTAGTTTTCTGATACATGCTTTTCATTGCTCAATTTTCACTAATAGGCGTATAACTTGCCCCAAGTTTGCCTTTTTTTTTGTTTCCGTGTATCTTCTAATCAACCCATTTTAGATGTTATGATACACCTATGGAGTTGGTGGGACTCGAACCCAGCACTTCTGGAGCAAAGGTAGAAACACTTGCTGCACCACAAGAACCTTTGGGTCTGCTTTCTGTTTTAACAACAATTGTTGCTAGCTATAAACTAAGAGTGGTTTTTAATTCCAGATTTTATTACTTGAACTTTTATTCCACCAGCTGCAGTGGTAGGATTTGATCCCATGGCCCAGAGCAATAGCCTGGGCATCTACATTACTAGTCCAGTGCCATTTCCATTAAACCAACATGGCCTTCTTGTGTCTGCATCCTGGATACCACTGGGGCTAGTGGAATTTGAACCCGGGCCTCCTGGCTCAAAGATAGGGACACTGCCCTCGTGCCACAAGAAGACCCTGGGTTTGCTTTGTAGATATTTTCTAATCAACCTGTTCAGAGATGTTATTGCATGCCTCTGGAACAGGTGAGACTCGAACCTGGTGTTTCTGGACCTAAGGCTGGGACACTACCACTGTGCCGCAATAAGTTTGCTGGATCTACTTTGTTTTCTTTATCTGCAGAAATGTTAGGTTTCGTTTTGTATTTTTCCTCTTGCCAGAAGACCTATATCTCTCAACTGAGCGACTTTCCCATAGTGAAATCCATGACCTTTTAAAGCTATTAACTGCCACCAGCAATTACTCCTGTGGCCTATCAGGTATTTACAAGTAAAATCCATTATGGGCGATGCAAGCCATCGAAAGTGACAGGGAGGTAGGGAAAGAGCTAAATCAAAATGGAGTTGGAGGGGGAAATAAAACCCTATTCCTCACAGTGCTGACCCTTCTCTAAATGCATCAAGAGCATTGAGGGACACCATCTGCTCCTTCTGCAAGGACACGTGGGCGCAATGATAACCACGAAGAGGGCCAGACAGTCAGCTGTTATGACCCCCTCCACAGCCAGCTGCCTGGACCTGTTTATAGCCAACCTGGCCAGGATCAGATCCATGAGAGCCATCCAACCTGCTCATAGCCCTCCGTACCAGATACTCACTGGGTCTACATCTATCAAAGATTTGAGGTGATGAGTTCCAGCTGGGCAGGCCATTGTCTATCATCAAGGGAACCAGTGTTCAATGAGCTCTACAGGGAGACTGGTGATTTCCCATAGGCCTTGTAGGGTTATCGAAAGGAGGAAAAGTTTTTAAGTGCTTGCAGTTTTTTGTTATTGATATTTGAAGATCCAAATGATTTATTTTTTTTTTAATTGCCTGTGGTGGAAGAAGTATTTTGAGGAAAGTGCAAGTTAAGAATTATATTTTGAAAATTTTGTCAACATCCTATTGTCACAAGAGGATTCATTTGTGCTATGCAGTCTGAATGGGCATAGATATGTTGCAACTCATGGTAAGGACTGCAGATGCTGGAATCCGAGATAGCACAGTGTGGAGATGGAGGAACACAGGCCAGGCAGCATCAGAGGAGCAGGAAAGTTAAAGTTTCAGGTAGGGACTCTTCTTTAGAAATGGGGTAGGGGAAGGGCACTCTGAAATAAATAGAGAGGGAGGAGGAGTGGGGCTGGGTAAAGTGGGTGGGATGGTGATAGGTGAGTGCAGTTAGGGAGTGGTGGGGATTGGTCAGTGAGGTGGGAGGGGTGGATAGTTGGGAGAGAAAATGGACAGGTTGTGTCAGGTCAAGGAGGCAGGGATGAGAGGGAGGGTTGGTCATAACTTTCCTGTCCCTCTGCTGCCTGGCCTGCAGTGTTCCTCCACACTGCTATCTATAGAAATGTTGCATTTTGGCATGGAAAGGATAGGCTGTGGCTGGTAATGGAGGGTATGAGATGGCACAGATGGGGCATTGGCGTGTGAATGGGTGTGAGAGCTAGAAGAATTCTTTAAGCCTCAACACCCGGCAGTCCTGAGGCTGTTTCCAAACTCTTCAGGTTTGACTAGCCTGTCTGCAGCCTAAACCTACCCTTGCAATGAAGATTTAATCTGAAATTTACCAACATTCTCTACCTGCCTCAAAGATGAAACTTTAGGCCATTGTATGAGTACCCATTCATAATGCTATCAATTTTATAAATATATTGTTGTAACTAACTAATTATTAATGAATGTTCAGCTGCCTGTTTGGTAACCAGTCCCCTCTCTAAGCTAATATATTGCCCACAACTTCGTAAACCTTTTATCTTATCCAAGTGTATTTGCTGCAGTTAAATGACTTTTGAAAATCAAAGCACATCACATTTGCCAGTTCCCTTTTATCTACCCTACTATCCAAATCTTTCTTACAAAGTAAGTTGTCAAACAATTGGCCTTTCATAAAGTAATGTTTGATGAGTTCTTGATAGTGGGTTCCAGCATTTTCTTGATGAATTTTGTCAGGCTAACTCATGTTTTCACTTTTTTTGAGCAGTGAGTATCATATATTTGCTAACTTGGAAACTGCTGTGACTGTTCTTGAAGCTAGGGAAGGTTGGGAGTCCTAACTGTTGGCATCTCTATCTCTAAGGCAGTGTCTTTTAGACCTTTTTAACATCTGTCCTTTCCCATTCTCAGTGATAATTCCTCTTGTTTCTGCTTCTAATGAACTAACTTTCACTTTAGCTGCACTTCTATTTGTGCACTTGTAAATGCTCTTAAACTATCCAGGATAGAAAAGCAGAATTTTTAATACCATTTTATAAGCTTTTTGATGTCCTTTTGATTTGTAAAGCACTCCGTCTTCATGTTTATTGTTTAGTTTTTGTAGCATTAAATTTCTTCTTTTAATCCAATATTTCCTCAATCTTACCCTCTTTAGTAAGCCACTGGTCTTTATTGCTAAGCTTTTGCTTTTTAATGGAATTTGTTTTATTATTTACATGTTTCCTGCTGTTTATTTCCCACCATACATTTTCAACCTTGGACAGGTCTCCCATCATACTTAGGTAGTTGGATTTATTTGAGATTCTTGTTTTGAGACCAGAATGTCACTTCCAAATTCCATATAGAATTCTATACGGATCATTTTACCACATTGCATTTTTACTATGGGAATGCAAACTAATCCTGTCTCATTGTACTGTACCATACCATTATCTAAAATAGCACTTCTTGGTTAGTTACATAGCACATTGTTCCAGAAAACTGTTAGAAAAGTATGATACGAAGTCTGCTTCCATAATTCCTTTGCCCTTGTCCAGAAGATTATCATAACCGTTACTATTATAATTATCCATGCTGCTTCTGTCGCATGCTCCAATTATTTCTTGCTTGATGCTTTTTCCAATGTTATAACTCTTGTGATGGGAGTAATTTATGGGCCTCAAGTGTTTTTCTGATCTTTGAGTCTGAGTGAAGGAAATTAGAAATAACAATGTCCTAATATTCTGAGCAGAAATCCTTTTTCATTGTCTTTGTGTTACCCTTTCACTATCGGGGCCTGATTCTGTTACCTTTCAGAAACGATGTATACCCAGGGAACAACAAAAGACTGATGCAATAGGGATCTTAAGGTGCAAGAGTAAAAATCGCATTCAAACAGGCCCATGTTATAGCTGACTTCTTAGACAAGCAAATAATATTGAAATGCTTTGTAGCCTGTTATCAGCTAAATGTGTGATACAGGTACAGAATCCAACTGATTTGTCACTTGAATTCATTCTGTTAAAACATGTACAGTTGCAAGCAGTGTTATGATCCCTGCTGATCATATTGGAGAACTCAGAACACAGAAATCTAACTTGATAGATCACATTTTGTATTTTATTATTTAGCGAAGTGGTTTTTCTTTGACATACAAGCATGCAATGCTGCAGATGTGGTTTTAACAATAAACCGGAAGCTTATTCTGCAAACTAAGCAGTACATTAGAATAAACATAGAACATAGAACATTACAGCGCAGTACAGGCCCTTCGGCCCTCGATGTTGCGCCAACCTGTGAAACCAATCTGAAGCCCATCTAACCTAAACTATTCCATTATCATCCATATGTTTATCCAATGACCATTTAAATGCCCTTAAAGTGGGCGAGTCTACTATTTTTGCAGGCAGGGCATTCCACACCCTTACTACTCTGAGTAAAGAACCTACCTCTGACATCTGTCCTATATCTATCACCCCTCAATTTAAAGCTATGTCCCTTCGTGCTAGCCATCACCATCCGAGGAAAAAGGCTCCCACTGTCCACCCTATCTAATCCTCTGATCATCTTGTATGTCTCTATCAAGTCACCTCTTAACCTTCTTCTCTCTAACGAAAACAGCCTCAAGACCCTCAGCCTTTCCTCAAAACTATTTTACATATAACACAATTTGAAAGATTTTGCAGCACATAATCAAAACAGAATCCCGTCTATCCCAATATGATTACTTTACTCAAATATCTGAGAGAGTT